TCATTTTAAACAGTTTGTAGGTCTATTAAGTGTATGTATTATTTGGCCAAAAATTAGCGCACACAACACACAAATTAGCAAGGACCTGACGCAGCATCGTAGCTTGACCAAAAACTAATCAAAGTGGTAATACTTGACCGTCAGGCAATATTGACGGTACACAACAAGGTTCAGGAACAAAAATAACCCAAAGAAACTATATGTATATATATATATATATAAAACAAACCACTTTTCCGACAAATTATCTGTAGGGCATATGGTGCCTTTGCAAAAAACAATTTAAAAAAAAGTAGATACTACAGTAATAGCACCCAAAATGTATTGGAGAAAAACGGTATGTTCAGTATCTACTAAACGCTAATGAAACTAGAAGACAAACCAAAAAAGTTGTGACACAGGTGCTCAAACCTAAATGATACCACCATTCACTTGTTCATGGTCAACATCGTACACACACACATACACACATATATATATGTACACACACACACATATATATCTCGAGAGAAAGAGGGCATGAGAACATAACTGGTTCAAAATTATAATAACCATCAATATATGCACCACTGTTAATTAGTATAATGCCTTTAAAATACTACAGCATTTCTCAAGCTTTCTTTGTCTACAATGGTTGAAATGCCGTGGTTTAAAATCCAGAATGCGATAGCCGCAGCAGGAAACTAAGTAAGTACACAACATTCAAAATATCTATAACTATTACTTTTTAAGTTCATTTACCGCACAGATAAACAGATAATAGTAATGCCATTACGGAATCAATTTAATAAAAATCGTTTAGTAATGCTACTCTGTGTAGTTTATTCTCATAACTCAATATACAGCAATTTTTATCGCTGTCCTTATTTTAAACTACAATGTAAGTTATAAATATTTCATAATGAAAAACTTTTGTAAGTATTTCTCACTTGGTTTTTTTTTTTTTAATTTAATGCTACTATTTGGTTAGAAAGTTTTGGGACATTCCCTCTAAAACATGCTGTTTATCTTACTGGTATACATGAGTGGGATTTGGATGGAGGAGGGGGGGACAAAGCTAAATCTATTTATATATATAAAAAAAAAGTCGGATTTCATAGCCTTGATTATTGCGTTATTACGTTATTTTAGAATGTACAAAATATATCAGGATGGTTTTGTCACAGTTTTTAGATATAACGGCTTTATTTGTCACTGACCAAAGTTAAAAAATAATACATTTTCTATAAAGATGGATGAGGCTCGCAACTAAAGCTTAGTGGTTTTAAGCTTGTATATTCTCGCATTGCGATATTGTCACATAAACCGATACAGTTTGAAGGCACTGAATGCCAGCAAGGAAAAACTAACACATTTAAACAACTGTGTTTGTTTATCTCAAAACCCTTCCTCAGTAATATATACCTTCACACACACTATAGAGAATTGAACCCGGCTCACCGTTACTATAAGCCACTAATTAGGTTATCAGTTTAAGCTAAGAACTCGAATTTTTATATGAATATAATACAAGTACATTTTATACATTACTTTAACCAAAGTTACACTGATACAATAATCTAACCTTGCCGCCTAGTTGACCTTCCTGAAACACTAGAAGCATCAGTATCACGTGACTTAAATCAATGCACACTAAGACTCATTTGCAGCGTTAAGAGATCAGCTACGAAACCAAGATGAATGAAATACTAAATTTGTATATATTTCCAGTCATTCTGGTGTGGATGAAATAATATATATATACACCAGTCATTCAGTAAAACAAATATCACATTCTATAAATTACTTAAACTTACAAATGCTGTTGAGCATATTCAATAAATCGATGAAGTTACAAATGGCGCCCCTTGTACAGTAAATTGTCTTTGTCGCATCAACCACCGTACAAACCATTCGTTAGTTATTGCTTATGCTTGTTGACCTCAATTACGACTAGGAACCCATCTACAATCATTCGGTTCAACATTGTAGTTAACTTTCAAAGCATATACTCCATAAACAGATGTTACACATGGTAATTGTCGTTAATTTTATGAGTCACTGTGTTATTTCATCAATAAATCAAAGCGTCGCCAGTATTACGTCATTTTTCAAATATAGCATCTCCAGATTCACAAATACGACTATTTATTGCAATTCATATAGTGTTGTTTGAAACACGTGTCACAGTCGTTGTTCTTAGTACAAAAAACAAAACTTATTCAAATACATGTTGAATAAAAAAAAAAACAATTAAGTCATATGTTTATATACGGAAGAAATAGTAATCATAAACACTTAATTTGGACGTGATATAAAACAGAAAAATACAAAAAAGAGAGATCACAGCTTAACAAAATAACCAACAGTGTATTATTTAAACCAACTTTTACCACATACTATACAGTATAAAAAATAATTTGGCTAGCATGACTTAACGCTGCAATTTTATTGATATGAATGACAAAGTGCACTGACCCTAACTTCTCTTTTACAATAGGAAATAATACGCACTAGTCTGATCGCGCAATGTATGTATATCAAGTGCAATAAAATCGATTATTGAAAAAGCATAATTATGTTCACCATCCGGACTTCACGGTCTGATACACGGAAAATGTCCTTCCTACGCTTCGTCCTTTCTTTCAGCTACCACTAAGCCTAAACCATGCGTCACTAATTATCCTACATATACCGATTTTCGGAGCGCTGCGCATGCGTTGCTGTGTATTGCAATTAATTTACCGCGGTACAGTTCTTATGAAAATTAGGCTGTTATTAAATGAGATCTCTCTACGTATGTATATTTTTATCTGAGTGACATAGCTTAAAAAGTTTAATTACTTACCAACCACTGAAAATGGCTGCTTGCTACCCTGTAAGTAAGATAGATCTAAAAAAATCTTTTTTTCTTTTTTTTCAATAAAATGCGTCACTTTTCCAAACTCCACAAAACTTAACCATGTGACTGTTCATGACCTTTTAGGTTAACCATTACCGTATTTTTCGG